ACGGGTGGTGGTGGCGGGGCGGGGTGGGTATAAAAGGAGGGGGGTGCCTTGGGGGAGGGGGCACGGCGCGGCAACGGAGTCCGAGCCGGACTCCTGTTCGGCGGCGGCGGCGGCGTGGTCTCCCGCTAGAAGATGGCAGCGCGGGGAGGTGGGCCGGCGCTGGGCTTCGGCCCAGCTAGGCCTTGGCGCGGTTTTTTTTAAATAATTCCGCCAAAGCTAAAAAAATCTTAGAAAATAAAATAAAAATCTAAAAATGCCAAAACAAAATTTTCTCCGTCTAAATAAAATATTTAGAATGAGATGAACATTTTCTTGGCCCTAAAATGCAATTTTGAAAACGTGCAATTTTTCTAATGCAACCAAAATTGCAAATAAAAGCAAAAATTGATTTTAATATTTTTCCTCCAATATTTCATTTATTTTGAAGAAGTCATATTATCTCCTCTCATATATTTTAATATAAAATATTTTTGGAGAGAAAAATAATTAAAACCAAAAGTCCTCGTTTCAATATTTGATAAAAATCAAATATAAAATCTGGGAAATCCCTAACTCTCTCCGAGGGTCCTTGAGTTTCTTAGGATTTTGAGGATCGCGAGACGAAATGCAATAAAATATGATATGCAAGAATGATCTATGTATAACATTCCAAATTGAAAATTTGGGATGTTACAGCCTGAGCATAGTAGAGGAGCAACAATATTTGCACAGTTCATTCAATTTCATCATCAAATGCTTAATCGGGAAACTCACATTCAGCTACAAGATGATTTGGTTGAGTATATGTGGACTCATGTTGAAACCAATAGATGTATCTTTTTATTAATATATTTGAGACAATTTAATTTTTACTCTGCTTTGTAAACTATAATATATTTATTTTAATTGTGAAAATATGCTATTTATGTTCGCTTGTGAGACTATGCAAAATGTGTGTACATTTATTGAAAAGCGACGGCAAATCAGTCAAACGGGCAAATATGGGTACATGCATTGGACGCACTGTCGACCCAAATCATAAGAATACACCCAAACGAATAAAAAGCCGACAAAGCGTGTACCCGAGTGCGTTGGAGTTGCTCTTAGTTCCTAAACTATATCAACACGTTGAAACCAAATATCAACACGTTGGAACCAAATATCAACACGTTGAAACCAAAAAAAAATAAAAAAAATAAACTGAATAAACAAATAGACAGAGTAAGAGTAGTCGTGGCAGCAGCGGACCAAGGCTCATATGGTGACTTCGTAAATCTCAAGATGATATACCGGCTTAGTCTTTCGGAGGAGCTCATAAAAATAGAATGTGCATGTGTGCGTTCATACGAATGAATGTATGCACGTATATATGAGCGTTTGTGTATGTACTAATGCTAAAAAAAGCTCCTGCCCGGTCACACTGACCACTCTCGCAGCGTGGTGTCACCTTGCCGACAACGACCTCCCCTCCAACCAGATCCCCAGGCTCTCTCAGACCAACCACGAGCCACTTCCTCCCCTCCAACTCCAACACCAACACCAAGCTCGCGCTGCCTCCCGACGGTCACTGTTCACCTTTTCCCCGTAACAGGAACAAGTACATCTCAGGGGGAAGAGAGAGAAGAGCGTCCTCTGTCATTACTTCACTTTCACTCAAGAAGAAAGAAACATCGCGAGATTGGTAGAAGCAAGACGCAGGCGGAGGAGGAATTCATAGTAGATGCGTGCGCGTCGATGAGGATTCGGGGGCTGGCGATGAGCGGCGGCAGGGAGGTGGCCATCTCCGCCGTCTTCACGGCGCTCCTCGTCGTCTCCATCCTCTTTCTCCCCTCGGTCCTGCTCACCAGCGGCAGGCTCGGCCCATCCTCCGCCAAGGAGTGGCCGTTCCTCGCGGCGGCCAAGGACGGCGGCTACTACCCGGTGTCGTTCGCGTACCTCATCTCTGCGTCGACGGGGGACGCGGAGCGAGCGGCGAGGCTGCTGGCGGCGCTGTACCACCCGGCCAACAGTTACCTGCTGCACCTGGACCGCGAGGCCCCCGCCGAGGAGCACCGCCGACTGGCTGAGCTGGTGTCCGGGCAGCCCGTGTACGGGCGCGTGGGGAACGTGTGGATCGTGGGGAAGCCCAACCTCGTCACCTACCGCGGACCGACCATGCTGTCCACCACTCTCCACGCGATGGCGGTGCTCCTCCGCGTCGGCCGCCGCTGGGACTGGTTCGTCAACCTCAGCGCCTCCGACTATCCGCTCGTCACCCAGGACGGTCCGTATCCGCACCACGTCGGCTGCGACTGCGATTATGCTACTACTCCTATGCTAGTATGTGTGAATTC